CTACATTGACCCAACTAGGAATCGAACCCGGAACTTGACTTTATCTGAAACAAAGACATAGCGACACCTCAAAACTGTCGACATCATAAGGTTTCTTCTAAAAGACACAAATAAACAAAAAAAATATTAAATCACCCTCATACAAATAAAAATGGAAATTCGAAAACAAAAACGCGAATCCTTTCAATTCAGGAAAACAATTGCGGGTAACTCATTTCAAATCCTAACACTTTCACGTGCCAATAATTGAATTATCATAATAACATTAATTATCAGTAATTGAATGAATTAATCCGTCTATCCATCTCGAAGCTCGTAATGTCCGCGTCCCTCATAAATATAGAGTTTTAATCTGCACACAGAGCAGACCGGGCGCAACAATAAAGAAAGCTTAATGTGACGTTTGTGTTTTCTTGTCACGTTTTTTCGCCGTTTAAACGTTCCTCGAACAAATGGGCCGAAACATAGCTACATTGGCAGTGTACCTAATACGGTAAAATGAAATACATACATTAAACTTTGCCTTTATGCGACCGTAATACGGCACATATTCAGTGGTAACAGAAAAGAATTTTATCTCAATATTATTCGCGTTGCAATTTTGCTGTACACAGAGTAGATGTTTAGATGAGTTCTACTTTGTTTTTTAAGCACATTTTTGTTTTGATGTCGTAATAAAATTTAAAAAATGGCTTAATAAAGTGACTATTTTTATAACATAAAGGATTTTGTAATAGTGACAAAGGACTATAACTGGGACTGCAAGATAAATGCTTACTATATGAGTTAAAATCTTATTTGTCTGATAAACAGGATGAGAACCGACCATTTATATTAAACCTCTTAAATAAAACGTTGAATTTTATAAGAGAATTTAATAAACGTATTTTGAGCCTCATCAAAATGTACAAGCACAAAGCATTGATTATAATAATGTAAACGTTATCCGGTAGCCAAGAGCTTAGAGACGGTCGGATTACAGAAACTGTATTTTAATTAAATTAATCACAGTTTCGCAATTTAATAAAACTTCTTTCCAAAGTTTTAAGACCACACGTAAATAAAATCGTTACTCTTATTAATCCATTACGTACTTATCCCTAATGATTTTATAAAAGGGTAAGGTAGAAGACAGGGAATAACCGTGCTCGACCCCTACTCATTTTCGCCACTTAATTTACTAATAATACTTCCTGTCATATTATCGGATGGTCAATAACTCCCCGATAGATCCATTACCATAAAATAAACCGGGTAAGATAACACTTCTGAGAAAATTTACCCTTATAATATGACACGTATCTGTTTTTGAATATCCCACGAATGATCTATGAAATCATGGCCGGCTTACTTCAGCCAATTATTTTATTTGCTGTCGTTTACGTTATATTTGACTTACAGATACTAAAAACTGCAACCGCTTCACGGATTCCTGAGAAATACGTTTCGTATTTTTTAAATAAATTAAATATTTAAATCACTAATGTAATAATAATCGTGGAAAAGGACTTTGATTGACATAGTTTGGGTAACAAATAACATATCTATCACTCAATGCTTTCTTATAAGTAATGCTTCCACGGATAAACTTTAACCACAGGGGATAATTTACCCAAAGAGGTAAAAGAAAAAAAAATAGTGGGTCTTAAAGCATGTGTGGGCAACTATAATGCGTGGGTAAGTTGAACTACAATGGTAACCGCGCAGTAGCACATTTTCGGGTATCAATGGAGGTGCGCGTGTGAGATGTAATACTTAACCATGGCAATAATGCGTCGCTATGGTTTTGAATTGGAGAATCTGCGCTAAAAAAATCCATATCCATATATCATTCGTGTAAAAACACAATTTAAACTTGATTTTTTTTTCAGTTATTTTTTATTAAACATGAAGCAAGGTCTTTACTTACGTAATCTGCTTCGTTGCCTTTCGTAATTTTTAAAACTCGCAGAGTTGATCACTAGTAAATATATAAGTGTCTGATGTCACATTTCAATAACATATCATCAATTTAATAAATCACTGAATATAAACATTACGAAGGTACAAACACACAGAAATAGTTCAAATACATTCTTACAAACAGTTCAATTCACGTTCAATTAGTGGCCTTACGGTTTTGACTCGTAAATTCTCTTTTAGGTCTTACTCTTTCTCACCTTTTACATCTCTCCACTTATGACATTTATTTTAGTCGTCATTATTTCAACCAGCATTCTATCCACGCGTTCGACGGAATATGCCTTTGTTAATTTATCTATTTATTTGATTTATACAATTTTATTTTTATTAATATTCCTGCTACAACCTGGCTCGTTTTACTATTTGGTTTCATTTGTATATTCGTCAACGGTCTCTCAATTTATCAGTATGTGTATTCAAAACAAAGCAGTTTCAATTTAATGAAGGTTCGGCTACCCATTCGACAACCAACCTTAAAAATTATTGGCTATAATCACAGTGAAAATTCACTACCGTAGCTTAGCTATTAACTAACTCGCATTAACTGTATCGTTATTAAGCTTCTCTATCTAAGGATAATGTTTTAATTATAACGAGCCTTTTTCGTTCTTTATTAAGTTTTAGCTTTAATAGGTTCTTAATTGTAAAATATCCGTTATTAGGTACTCTTTAGTACAATATTCTTCCATTTTATAGTCATGATAAAACATGAAGCAACTTGGGTTTTGATCATATCGCTCGATAAATTTGTTTTAGCTGCATGTTTTAATTCTTTTACATATTTTCAGAAAAGTGAAATTTTACTGAACCAATACGAGCGATCATTTCGACATATATTTATTAGGTACACACGGCTGCATGTTAATTTCCGCAAGTAATATTGTATTCTATTAGTATAGGAAAAATTGTCATTTTCGTGTAACCTGACAACTGTCGACTGTACATAGAATAAGCGTGATTTGTAGAGCTTCTGAAATAACGAAGGTTTCACAATATTATAAGATTCACAACAATTGAAGCACAAAAACTGAAGAATTGCTAATTAGATAAGATTTTTTTTATTATTAGGGGAATTTAGTTAACATTTGCTTATATAAGATAATGTATTGAAGTTGAATTTCACTCCCGTGAAATGGAAATGGATCACTAAACTTTGACGTCACAATTTAGTTTATATTTCCAGATTTTAAATATTAATATTTCAGTAATCTTCAAACTTTGTTATTTTTTTTACTTTATATACTGGACTCTAATCACCACCAGTTGAGTGACCAGTTACGCGTTTATGACTTTTGATTTTGCTTTTAATTGAAACTGAGTTCAGAAACGGTTCGAACGATTAGTCGTTAATAATATCAATATAGTGTGTATCACGTTGTAATTCAAAATATCTCGGAGATTGGACCAATATATATCATAACTCCAAACAATAGATCATCATTTAATGGTTCATGCAATTTAGGCATATTATCCATGAAGATAACATTATTAAAAAAAAGGTTTCTTTTTTTTAAAGGCCTAATGAAATTTTTGACTCTAAGGGAAATTTTATTCAATGGTAAAATAAATATAAAAAATAGTATAGAAACAATAATAAATAAAACTTAAAATAACAATAAGTCGAGTATTTATTATTGTTGTTACATAAAAAGTAGATCATTTATTTTTGAAAAGGAAACTAAAAGCAAGTTCGGAAATTCTACAGAGTGCATGAATAAAAATTGAAAATTTAATTTATAACGATATGGAACTACGTATGTACATATTTAGTATTGTATTGGACTATTTCATTTTCGCACAATAGAAATAAAAAAAGTAACAGGTAGCCCTATAATCTATTATAACAAGGTTTCCATTTACTAATTAACTACCTACCTTTTACACATATTTTTTTACTATTTCTGTTTCATATTTGATATTATATTTGTTTTTCTTTAAATCAATAATCACAAACATAAATTGTTTTTAGACTCTGTGTACTTTTATTTATCTTTGTATTACTTGAGACTTATGTTCGGTTGTGGAAGCTTGGTATTTTGTAGGATAGGATTAGCCTAGTACCAGTTACCATTATCCGTACTTGAATTGAATTAAGATTAAAATGACTATGAAGTGTAATATACAGAATAGGTGGTATATATAAACATTATTAATTAACTCCTTGTATTACATTGAATCATTTTATTATTGTCTATTATTTTAATTATAGTATACTTTATATTAACGACCTTCGTAGCCGAGTGGTTCACCCGCTGGTTTCAAGATGTCGCCATTTCTGAAGTCCTGGTTTTGATTGCCGGTCTGGTTAAGATAGAGGATTAAATTTTCTACATTTTATCGGTTCTGGGTGTTGTGGTACCTTCGCTGTCTCGGAAACCCCTTAATCAAAGGAGTTTAGCCGCTCTTCTTGGAATTTATAACTCAAAGTGTAGGTTTTCTTTCTGTCTCTCCACTATGGTCGTCATTAAGCATTATTTAAGTACTCCTTTACGTTTAAAAGGGTTGGTTGTCACGATCAAATATTTACGAGTCTTCCTCAAGCATTGTGTCTTTGTTCCTGTTTGTTTTGCGACTAATTAGAGAAAGTTCGAGGAGTTGAACCCCCTACTCTGAACTGGGGATTCCATTCCTCTCGATGAGGTAATTAATTGAGCTTTTAAAGACTTGTTATCTTTTGTTGGATAAAGTAATGCTTATTGACAGTATAAGCATAGGTTAATAATGTCGATGATAGCAAATCTGTTGCACACTAAATTTAGTTTTAATCCTGTTAAACTACGTTTATCATTTTGGAGATAAATAGGATCACACAAAAGTAAATCTAAGTATTACAGTATGCAGGAGTATATTTTTTATTAGTGATTGCGTAATATCGTCAACAAACCCTATTTAAAAAGGTTTTTTTTTATAAATACTACATGAACATCGATGGGAATGTCCCCCTTCCTCTCGGACCGCGGACGCGCTCGGACGTGTCGAGTAGTTGCAATTGTTTCTAATACAACCACATAAACTGAGAACCTAACTTGATAAGTAAAATGTCGAAGACACAAAGAACACCTCCAAAAGGTGGCGTCCAGCATGTGGCTTCCGAAGGTGATATTTGCAGCCTCGACCCTGAAAATATATTTAGTTACAAAAGTAAGAGATCAAAGAGACTAAGGACTGATAACCAAAACAAAAATGATGAAGATTCCCTTAAAGATGAGCTATTCACCATGCTGTCAAATTGGAAGAAGGATCAGGATGATACTTTAAAAAAACTGTGCTCGGATATAACAGAATTAAAACTGCAAAATTCTAAGATTCAGTCTGCAAGTATGGAAATGGAAAAATCTATGCACTTTATGTCTAGACAATATGATGAGATAAAAGATAAACTCTTCAGTATGGAACGTGAAAGAAAGGAAAATATGCAGTATATATCGATTTTAGAAAATAAGATTCATGATATGGAAAAGAAACTTAAGTCCACAGTTATTGAGGTTAGAAATATTCCTTTGAACTCGTCACAGATAAGGCAGGAGACACAACAAGAACTGTGTGAATTATTTCAAAAAACGTGCGATGCAGTTAAAGTACCAATTCAACAATCTGAGATAAAGGATATCTATAGGGTTAATAATAAATATGGCACTGTTCTCATAACGGACCTGAATAGTGTCATCACCAAAAATAAAGTCTTGAACGCAGTAAGAGAACACAATAAGAATAACTCAAATAATAAACTTTCAACAACGCTAATTGGATTACCAGGCCCAAAGACTCCAATCTATATAAATGAGAGTTTGACTAAAAAGGACCATCGACTCTTCGCTCTAGCCCGTGATACTGCCAAATCACTGCAATACAAGTACTGTTGGACTAATATGGGAAGAATCTACATGCGTAAGGGTGATGGCTTCCCGCGTACTGAAGTGAAAAATGAAGAAGATTTGGAGGTACTGAAGAAAGCATGACTGAAATTATGTTTATGTTCTATATTAATTTCCGTTTATTTTGTATTACTTATATTTTCCTCCCGGTGTATCACCGATTTTGCACTCATTACAAGCTTACCCACCATATATTTTTATTTGCCACAAAGAATTACTTTTGTATTAACAATTAATTTATTTTTAGTGAAAAACTCAAAAAATATTCATAATGTGCGTTTTAAATGCGGTGTTGAATTTTTATATTGTATCTTAAAAAGTAAACAAGCCTATCGATGTGAAATAAAGACTTTTCTAGTGATTTTAAATCAATATGTTAATATTACCGAGCGGGTTCGTTTTATGATGCATAAGTGTTTAGTTTCATTGATATTGGACTTAAACAGTGATTTTATTTATGATGATCGGGATTGCCATAAGGATTACTTTTATTCGTTAAATTCGCAGCGTTAAATAGTTTTATCGACGAATTAGACAGTGTTACATTTTGCGAGGCGGTATTGTGTCAACCCGAGGTTTGTACCAAATACTTACCTACATTTCAATCGAATCTTACTATACTTTCTCAGAACATTCGTAGTATAAGTGCAAATTTCTGTGGATTTTCCTTGGTTATTGAACGAATGAAAATTTTATGTGATATTTATATTTTATCAGAATGTTGGCTTTCATGTAATCCTGTTGTACCGGTTTTAGATGGATATAATTCATACAAAACGTTAAGAACTTATAATCAAAATGATGGAGTGGTAGTTTTCATCAGAAATTCCTTGTCAAATATAAAAGTTTATGAACCAATTGTTTCGGATTTCAATTGTTTAGTGATTACGGTAGGATCTGATTTGGCTATAATCGCAATATATAGACCGTACGCATTTACTGATTTAACAACATTTCTACAGTGCTTGGATGTTTTACTCATGGATCTTAAATCGTATAAAAATATTATTTTAACGGGTGACATTAATATTGATATTACCCCCGATTGCCAAGCTAATTCTACACTAGCATATCTTGATCTTCTTGCTCATCACGGATTTTTTTTAGGACACACTTTGCAAACCCATAACACTACATGTTTAGACCACTCTAATTTAAAAACAAGACTCCCTGCCTTAGTCCTCGTTTTTGAAACGACTGTTACTGATCACTATGCAGTTTTTACCGCCCTATCAATAAAAAAACCTAAACTAAATCAACGGCTAACATTTAACAGGGTAGATGATATTAAACTAGGTGCTGATTTAGAAGCAATTGATTTCAGTTCAGTCTATTCCACTCAAGATCCCAATATTGCTCTAACGCGCCTTATAAATCTAATCTCTTTAACCTTGTCCAATAACACCAAGATAGTGTCAATATCTCGGAAACGCAGACCTATTAAACCCTGGATTACCCCAGGATTATTAAAATGTATGAGACACAGAGATTATTTATCTAAGCAATTTAAAAAAGACTCATCAAACGAAGTGTTAAAGATTTCATACAAAAGGTACCGAAACTTCTGCACGGCACTGTTAAGAAGGGCAAAAACTGAATACGAGAAATCTGAATTTGAGAAGGCTGGTGGTAATTCTAAGCTACTGTGGAAAGTTATACAAGATGTGACAAATTTTAAGAAGCCTCAATCGTCGGCAAATAATCTTTTAAACACGCACTCAAACAACTTGAACTCCCTTAATGATATTAATTTTTATTTTGCCAATAGTGGTCGACATCTGGCTGAGAAAATATCTAATCAGTCCCAGTATTACAATACTACACTGCCCCCACCAAGTGGTAGATCTTTTGCAATGCTCGAAACAGACGAGATGGAGGTCGAGGGATTGATCAGCTCATTGAAAAATAATTGCGCCGTAGGCTGGGATGGCTTATCTTCAAAATTTTTAAAAACACATAAAAATATTATTGTTCCTCCCCTTACGTATATCTGCAATCTATGTATTACATCAGGTATCTTTCCGGATTTATTTAAAGTGGCTGTTCTCCACCCTATCTTCAAATCTGGCGACCGAAACCGTGTTGAAAATTATAGACCTATCTCTGTCTTACCTGCAATGTCTAAAATACTCGAAAAGCTCATTAACTCGAGACTTGTCGCATACTTGGAATCATGTAATCTACTATCAAATAACCAATATGGTTTCAGAAAAAACTTATCCACCGCTGATACAGTACATGGTTTAGTAGATCACATTGTAGAGAAACTGGACGCAAACGATAAATGCGTCGCATTATTCCTCGATCTAGCAAAGGCGTTCGACACGGTCTCGGTACCTATACTTCTGTCAAAGTTGGAGGCTATGGGAATAAGAGGCGCACAGCTGTCACTATTCCGTAGCTATCTCTCAAATAGATCGCAATGTGTAAAGATAGGTACATACACTAGTTCCCAAATTCCCATAATGTACGGCGTTCCGCAGGGCAGTATTGTCGGTCCTAGTCTATTTTTAATCTATATTAACGACTTGTGTAACCTCAATCTCCAAAATGGTGCTATATTTTCATACGCTGACGATACAGCCTTGGTATTTTCTTCTAAGACATGGGACGAAACATATCACTTCGCTCAGAAGGGATTTGATATTGTCAATCAATGGCTTAACAACAACTTACTTACCTTAAATTTTAGTAAAACCAAGTCGATGAACTTTTCGATTCGTGGTGTGGCTCCTGGTATCCTAGATTCATTTAATATAGTCGGTCAACAATCACTTACAGTTAATACTGACATGGTAATTGAAAACGTGTCATCTATTCGTTATCTTGGTGTGATGATTGACTGTCAACTGTCTTTCAAACCGCATATAGTTCTTCTTTCTAGTAGAGTTCGAAAGCTTATTTTCATCTTTAAACAGCTTCGACTTTCTGCGGGTGCTGAGACTATGAAAATGGCTTATATGGCACTTTGTGAGTCTATCCTGAGATATTGCATAACCACCTGGGGTGGGGCAGCTAAGTCACATTTAATGTTAGCGGAACGTGCGCAACGCGCTGTCCTTAAGGTTTGCTGTAGTAAGCCCCGCTTGTACCCTACTGACATGCTTTATGAATTTTGTCAAGTTCTAACAGTCAGACAACTTTATGTACTAGCTACTACCTTAAGGCAACATTTTTCAACAATTTACGTTCAAGGCAAGTCTCGTCGTAATAATCTAGTAGTCACAACAAAAAAAATGAATACATCTTTTGCCCAGAGATTTTTTGTTTTTAATGGACCACATCTTTATAACAAATTGAACAAATTTTTATCTTTCTATGCCCTAAATCGTCATACGTTTAAAGTGGTTACCAGAGATTGGCTTCTTAAACAGTCTTATGCACAAACAGAGTCACTACTTGTCGCCTTGGTGTGATCGATACTGGTTATTGGCATTATAGACTTCATCGAAGTCCTTTCTCTAGTTTTTGCGTGAAATAGTAACAAACATGCGTACATCCATACACCCTCACATATATCCATATTCTTAATATTGAACCAGCTAATAATCAAACATATGTAACGCACTTTGCCCACTTTTGGTTGCAGCTTGTTTGGAAGTTGTTTCTTTGTTCAAACCAATCAAGTTGGTTGACCCATAGCTTACGCGCTCTCTTAACTACATTTCTTGATTTGTCTGTAATTATTTTCTTGTGTATAATTTTTGAACTTTTATGTCGTAAATTGTAATTACCACTGAGAGGTGGGGACCTGGTGTCCTGTGCAAACAGGTTTTAATTACCTAAAACAGGCAACAGCGATCCACAACCACAATTAGGTTTAAGATTTATTGTATTTTATAAGTGTAATGGTTTGTGGAGAGAAATAAATCTTATTATTATTATTATTATTATTATTATTATTATTAATGTGTTTAAGACCAAAGCATACTAGGGCGACGTAGCAGCGGAGAGGCGCCAGATGAATATTTTTTCTATCGTTTCTTAGGAAAGGTCATAAACACGTTTAAACGCTTCAGTGCGAACATGGCATTTTCTTGCTTCAGCACGAACACGGCATTTTCGTGAATTTCGAATACAGCAAGCTGGCAAATAGCGCACTAACCATGCGTCACAAAAAGGTGGAAGCTCGCACACCACAAGTTGGGAGCTATTGCTATCGATGCTGATGCGACAGTGCTCACTGAAACCTGGTGGTTACCTGTAAGCACGCTTGGAACGCGCGAGCCATCACCTAATAATTGGAATCACAGTCCGCCATTGACTTTGTTATACGTTTTTATATGCATAATTTATATGATACACAATAAGTACCTAGCATATATGTGATAATAATAATATACTTTATTGCACACAACAGAACAAAAACAAGTTACAGAGAATCACAAAAAAAGATACAAAAGGGTGCGTTATTGCTATGCAGCAATCTCTTCCAGGCAACCTATGGAGGACAAAAGATAAAATGATGCGGTGAACGACTAGTGTTGTGAAGTTGAAGTGTGATTTTTGTAGTTGTATTTTTTTTAAATTGTATTGTGTTACATAAAATCGGATTGTGAAATATAATTGGCGTTAATTTTTTCCCGAACTTTAAGTCGTAATAATAAGTTTATCCAATAATTCTATTGGTCGGTTTACTCTCTCATAAATAACATGATTTCTAAAAAATGTACTCTAATTGAATTTCAAAATTATTTAATGTTATGTTTCCGCTCATTCAAACTTGCTTCTGACACTGATTCTGGCCATGACAGTTTTTTTTTTTGTATTACAAGCTGTTAACTATAAAAATCTGTTATTTTCAGTTGCAGCAGTATTTAAAATTTAAATTATTATAAAACAAAATGAGGTATCTATATTGCGTGATACATTTAGAAGTAAAATACTATAAATATTAAAAATGTAAGAATAATAAAATTATAATCTTTACCTCATTAGCATTGATAAGACAGTTGATAATTCAATTTGGAACCGCATAAAATCTAATTTGAGGGCGAATAATCACTTATAAATGCGCTGTGATCTTAAAATAGAAATACGACATATGAACTCTTTCGTCGTCTGTCTTGATCAAACTTATGTAT